AACTCAGAACAGGAGAATAATATGAAAATGACCCACATTTGCACTTGCAAGCAGATCCTGCCACTGATATGTCAGTAGCATGGAGGCTGGCATTAGTTCACCACTGCCTTGACATTCGTGTTTAAGCGCGTATTTGTGTCCCCTTCAGTCACCGTCACCATGACAAACAGTTAAGCTCAGGACCAAAAGAAATGGTTCCATCAGTGTTAGGCTGGGTTATACAACCATTTCATCAAATTCAAATCGAGCTGAAGCTATTCAAGCATTTCTGAATGAGTTGCTTAGGTTTGTCACTGGAGTCAAACGGAACGCTTGTGCCTTTTATATCCAGTGACAACACCCTTTATGCCCCACATTGGGGGAGGCGGGGTTCTAGCCAACCATAGAAGATCAAAGACCCTCACATCTTAATAGTGGACCAATATGCCACTGAGTAAAAATATTTTTTTACCATGAATTTTGAGTTGATAATGAGTTTCCAATAAATAAACACAAACTTTATTTTTAGTCGTCATTGGTGATCGACTTGGATGCAGAATAACTTTATCTAAACAATAAAACTTTTGTCAACATTTAACTGCTTTATTTTTTATCTTAACCTACCAAATAACATGTTTAAATTAGTTATCACATTTTTAGATCTACAACAGTTGTTATCTCAAGTGGTTAATATCAAATAAAAGTTAAATAAAAATAAACATGTAACTTTTTCATTGGCAGCTTTTCAAATTTTTTTTGGTATCATACCTCCATCCAATACAGAAAATATAGTTAATAGTTAACATGTTGCTTTTTCTGTTTACCTGGGATTTGTGTTTTGTGTCACGTAAAAAGTGTCATTTTACAAGTCATGTGACCACAAAATGATCCCTATGAGTGACCGCGGCATCAATCACACATGATCATATGATGATCAAATGGGAATTAAAAATCTATAAATCCACTTGTTGTTGTTTATTTCTAAAGTGGGGCTGCTGATTAGAGCTGTGAATTTTTTTCCTGCATGCATTTAAACATTAAAGATTTCTGTCCTGTTGCCTAATAAATGAAAATTGCTTTAGTGTGTTGGCAGATCAAAGTGAAAATAATTCTTTTGACTGAAGAGGTATTTTTTATTCTGTGTTCTAATAGTTACAGTTCCAGCAGTGTAAAAGAGACTTGGCATTAGGCATTAGCATTAGGTTAGAATCAAGTATAGAAACACGTATACATGTTCTGCAGCACTACATTTACAGGGTAACATATAGAGACAGATAACCATTCTGTCATGGTCCTGGGTCATTTGACCCAGAATTTTGAGTTTTCTGTGTTTTTGTCATTTTGTACTACGTTCACTTTAGAAGCACAAATTAATGTGTCCTGACTCAGACAACCCAGGAAGAGCATTCAACCTCCACAAAGAAAAGCCCCTTCCTGGATCTGTTGAACCTAGCTAACCGTCCTGCCAGCTAGCTAGCCTGAGCAAACTATATGTTACCGTACTTCCATTTATATATATATATATATATATATATATATATACCTGTGTATACATGTAGATTTTTATATTTTACTAAACTGGGTATGTATTGGATGTACACATGGAGGAGGCAGAATGGGATGCCAAGAGTTAGTGAATCATTTTTCTCTCGTTGCTCTGTAAACTGTTTGTTTTCTCAATAAGTTTACATTCCAGTAAGATTTCAGATCTGAGATTATAGCACTCAGTTACTAACTCATGAATATAAACAGCTTGTGTGTTTTCCTTTGCAAAACAAGCCACTGCTGGATGTGAGATGGCTGAAAACTAAGCGTTTTGTGTTCCAAAAATGTTTTATGGACCTTCTTCAACGAAAACCACGTGGACACACGCATTAATCTCAATAAGATGCTTCCTCACAGGATAAAAGTGATTACTAAGAGTAACTTTGAACTGAT